CTTTGGCAGTCCCCGCGAGATTAACCCGTCGAGTTGAGGCGTCGCACCCCTTCGTGGTCACTTTGGAGACCTGCAGAACATTTCTTTTCGAAGGTGTTCCCCGAGTCATATAACCTCCATAAATTCGAGGAGAACACCAATTCCTACCTCATTTTCATTGGTTCTCACGATGTTCTCTGAACATTACAGGATATCCCTTTCCGTGGGAACCAGAATATAAAAAAAAAATTATAAAAACTTTTCTAGATCTTTTCCAAACCTGTTCTGACGATGGTGAAGTCTGCGTCTTCTGTGGCTCGATGGGTTACAACTCTCAATCCCTTCAAGTTGGAACCCAGAACAGAGGAAGTCAATCAGACAATCAGACGACGTTTGTTGTTTTCATCCGGAAGCAGTATATCTTGAGGCTTTCAAATGTAATGTCAGAGCAAGAGGTGGCTGCATATTGACGTACTATACCTATTTCCGCAGTTTATGTGCTCCTTGAGGCCCCATCAGGGTGTAAACTATTGACCTCTGTGGTTTTTTGATGTTATCAATGTTGCTATTGGGCCTATACGATTAGCCATGACCTTGAATTGGAGCTACCTAAATATACAACAACTTTCAAAACTTTCCTCGTAGAAGGAGTCTTAAAGCCGATATTTTGCTAAGATGGCCAAAACTGTAATTTTCAACTTCTGGGATAAAAAAAATCATTTTTGAGGTCCTGTATTGGACCAGGAAGGTTAGAATTAGGCTCAAATTGTAGGGAATTTATCCAGCTTCAAAAAAAGTCTCAATAGCTTTTACGTTAGGAAGCTGCTTCACAGGACTTTTGTGCTAAACACTGAAATCAGTCGAAATATTCGAGCACTTTACTTTCAGCACAGGTTTTTCAAAGCTGCAAACTCGATTTTATACTATTGGTACACAGCCTAACAACATGCAGACAAAATTTGGACTGTACGAATTTATATGAACGTTGTCCAATTTCTGCATTATACAAGAAAAGTGCTCCAAAAATGTGGAATTAATTAACTCATAACCCCACAAACAACCGCAATAATCACATGCATCTGAATGTTCACTGTTCAAAAAATAATAACAATCACAAATAAAATCTCCTTTCAACTAATTTTTCAGCAAAAATACGCAGCTTTGGCCTAATCCGCATAATTCAGTTTTTGTGTGTGAGATGAACCAGATATCTGTTGATCAAAGAGCCCTGGTATATTCTGTATACATAATGGTGATATGTGGAGCGAGAATGACGAAATAGCATTACAATAAGATTTTTACAATTGTCAAAAAAAAAGAGTCGACAATTATCACAATTTAATGAACCAAAGATTGTTCGAGAATGTCCGAAAATGTCCTCTTCTTCAGATTTCAATGATTCATTCAAAATCACTCATGATACAGGGTGTTCTAGATCGTAATCGGGAACATTCAATAGACGATTGAAAGCGTGAAAATACAAAGGAAGTTCATGTAACCTTGTATTTTGAAGATTCTTTCTCGGGATTCAAGGTGTTAAAGTTGATAAAAAAGTTTATAGCTGAAAAACTCCTTGATTGATATTTGTTAAATCTATTGATACGTTTTTATGAAATTCTTTTGCGAGTAATATCGGCAATCATAATATCTTCCCGATAAAATCTGTAGCACCCTGTATTTATGTAGTATAAGAATATTCCCGAGCGGACATTTGCCCCTAGGAACACAATGGAGAAAATACCATTCATTTCAGAATGAATAATAATACGAATAATATAACTTGATTTTAGGGAATGACGTTCTTGTCTTGGTAGGATCTGAATGTGAACGAATTGGCTAACGTCAATTAGATGTAGTAAGATGAATGTCGATGCCACGTGACATATTATTTTCCTAGTTGTGATGTGATAACGATACCTACATAGCATTAGTGCAACATTGTTACGTCACATAGATCTCGTTATCACACGATATTTGTTGGAATTCTCAGAATAAAGTGACAATTGTCACTTGGAGTGGCAAATGCTGCATGGTTAAAAAAAAACTTGTCTACGCCTTCGTAAAAACAGAATCCATGCAAGCACAAAAAAACTCACCAGGGGCTAACATGATATCTCTACAAGAACAACAATAAACTTGAACTTATAATATGAATTTCTAGTAGTCTACAGGGTGATTCATTGATATTGCACAAAATCTCAAGGTTGGATACCTTGGATCTGAATAAGCTTCGTTTCCAAGATACGGGTGTTGATGAAGTTTCTTGGAAAATATTTTTTTCATCTAAATATAAATAAAAAACACCAGTTCCTGTGAAATTTCAGGTTTTGCTGAATACCGGAATATTTTTTGATGGAAAGATAGCATCCACTAGTTTGCAATTTATAACATCTTTGTTCATTGATTTTTTTCGGTGACTTCTCTGTTTTTGCCGAGAAAAAATCAGGAAGCAATGCTAGAAATATTTCAACAGAATGCTGAAATATTACTCATGTAATGAACACAACAAGAATATTCCGATGATCTCTTTCCGGAACTCAAATAGAGAAGCTGACTATAATCAATTGGGATTACTGAAGATAAATAATATAGTGCCATATTTTTATATTGTACATCTGATTATTGAACATTCAAAAATAATTCTTAGTTATGTACAATAACAATTAGGTACCTACTCAATCATCATAAAGATATATAACTACATATTTTCTAGAAACATAAGCTAATTAACGTAATTATATCGTAAATCTGAGTAACTTTCACCATAGAAAATAAAAAGATCTACTAGTATAGACAGTGCCAATTTCCTCATAATCTGTCGCATTCGTTGATTTTGCGGACTGATTTTAGTCAGAAAATGGTGTGTTTTGATAAATAAGATTCTTTACATTCGCATATGATCAGTTGAAGTGAAGATTCACCATAAAATTCATATAAAACAATAATATATTTCTCCAAAATTTCTTACAAATGCAGATAACAATATAAAAATGAAAAAGGTATTGATATGAGTAATATATCTGAAAAATTCCATAAACTTCAACATTAAATAATGAACATGTTTGCTTTCATTCATCATACTGTCTCTTAGAATAAAATCAAAACCACCCAAAAAAGTGATCATTTAACAACAAAAATATTGGCCAAACAGGAAAAGATATTCGTAGTATTTATTTACTTGCTTCTACAAAAAAAAAGAAATAAATAATTTCTACGACTGATATGAATTTAGTAATGTACCAATACAGCTTCTGGAGCACAAATATACAAGCGCGGTATCATACAGGTAGCTTGGATATATCCAATGAAAAAGCTTGAAGAAAACATCATGGGAAATACTAAAAAGAGCATCAAGTATGCGCCTCTAAAGCATAGAAAAAGAAGTTGAATAGTGTGGAAAAAGTGTCACACATGCGAATAAGATGGTGACCAAGCGTACATTATCAAACATAGATGATTGTACACGCATGTCGCTTCTTTCCCTTACTTCATCACGATCTGTTTACTACTCAGACGCAGAAGTGACGTTTTATCAACCTTTTTAGATGCTAGAGACGCACGTGTGACAGTTTTTTCCGCATATTTTGAAGTGTGGCAACGTTGCTTTTTTGCTGATACAGTAACTTCAAGCTATTAGCTTTTCACCCATCAATGGTTGCTTCTGAAATGATTCTATCAATATCTTCGAGGACAAACGCGGATGCTCGAAAGGAACATTCTGTGGATATCTCCGTTTCGATCATTCAGAAGAAAGAGTTTCATGGACATCTGTGTGCAAGGATGAGGCAATTTGTGGACATCTGCTTATGTGACCAGCGATTGATAAACGAGGTTCTGGCAACCTAATCCAACTTGTGGGAACCTTAGACGAGGGATGAGGGCACCAAGGTTAAATGATGAACAAAGTAAACAACCTTAGCCTCGTGCAGGGGGGGCACCACAGAGCTGAAACAACTTCTTCCTCCATTACTCGTAGAAAAAGAACTTTTTCGTTTCTTGTTGAAAGAAGGTTCGCAAGAGTAGTTTCCAGGAAACTGAATGAAAAGGGTCTTCCAAACCACTATGAGTGGCAGTACTAATAGTAACTGTGATGGTATTTGATGTAGTCCTTATGCTAGAGGAACTATGGGTCGAATGTGGTAAAATCAATAACAGCATATGACTTGGAAGGAAGTGGGATGTTCAGTAGATAAACCTACACATAGGGATGTATACATATCTATCTTGAAATTATCTAGAGATGCTGTGATGTCTCATACGATAATTTGATATTTCTTTATTATTTATCATCATCAATAACACAGATATGATTCGATTTGGAGAATGGACGTGTTCTTCTTTTGAAACGGCTGGCAAATTGAGTAGTGAGTATTCCATTTTTTACGACCTGTTTCTGAAAGCAGGCTTGGAAGTAGTGCTTCATATGTCAAGAAAATAGAAGTACTCCTTTTTAGTCCGGCATGTCCGATATAAAACTGAGTGTTTTTCATAGTACATTATCCTTAGCAAATTCCAGAAAGTAACTAGTTTTCTGACCCTGATTATGAGTATCCTCATGCTCTGGGTCAAAAGGCTGTTTTCTCTAGAGAAAAGTCTCCGAGAAGTTGTTACTTCCCGGTTGATCGGTGAAGTATCATATTATCAAAATCATTTTTGAAATGATCGTCAAAACTAAGTGTGTGACCGTCGAAGTAAAAGGTACCTATTGACGTGTTCGAATCTCAAATATTGAATTATATATGAATGATTTTAGCAGCAAAGTCTTGCATCTTACATATACTCATGAGAAATAGTGACAGCTTTTTCCCAAGTTTCATAATAGTTATTGATACACCGGAGTATTAAAGGATATCAGTATTACCCAGGGACCAAGGTTTTATCCCGAGGCTTCAGCCGAGCGGAATAAGGTCTCCTGCTGCTATTATTCTTCATTACCAAGGTGTATATCATATTTTTCCACCACTAGCAATATGTTTCAACCACTATCGTTTTGTGATACTGAAATATGGGCCTATTGTCACTATGGAAACACTTCTTTTCAATTCTAATTGAAATCTAGTAGCCATGGTAGTAAAAACATACGTCTTGGAAAGAATTAAATAATGAGAGGTTCTAGAGCTAGAGTGGTGGAAAAAATTATATAACTTCTAGTTGCTATCAATTTAGGGTAAAATTTCAATCAGCAGATAACCCGAGGTCATTATTTATGAATAATTTGTGGGTTCTCAAAATCCCAAAATTCAATCTGAAATATCTGTATACCTACATGTCCAAAATATGGAGATTTTCTACAGTGATAAAAAACGTAGTTTTATTGATATGGCTGGATAATCAAAAATACTAACATTATACATTTATTCAGTACGAATATTGTGAGTGGTCATATTTTGGAGTTCGATTTTTCGATACTTCTTATTGAACGATCAATCTGTTGGTGCACATCAACATAAACAATATACCTAAATATCTTGGAATATATCTCGTAGGAAGATATTTCGATACTTGTAAATACGAAATAAATACTGATTGCTCGACATTTAGTTAAGTTCCTTGCAGGATTACCAACTGTAATTCATGTTGCCTGTGGACGTCATGGGTTGCTGGATCAATACTGTGCCGTTAGCAGGAATTCCACATCTCGATTGTGTTGATCTAGTAGTTTCCATCTGGAAAACAACAATACTATGTCAGATTGGATAATCACGAATATACATTCGAGGAAGATTCTTCAAACAATGATAATTATATAGGGAGTTACACGTCATCAACTGTGGACTGATGAAAATAAGTTTTCGAAATATTTTCGAATTTGTTACTGGTTGAACAATAGATTGAACCAAACATTTTATATCAGAAGAATCAGTAGAATAATTCGAAAATTTCAGTCGGTGTCGAACATTATTTCCCAGTATGTGCATATCAAATTTCATATCTTCTTTACAAAAAATATGAGTTACCCCAGCTCATTTTGATTGATAGCAACATCGTTTACGAGTAGAATCTGCATCATATCTGTAATTCACAGAAAATGGTTATCATCGAAGTTCAGAAAATATTGACTAAGAACAGCATGTTGAATTTTATTTACAAGTCTCACTTAGTGATGCCAAGTTGAATATTTACCACATATTCTGCTTGCGACTCATGGGTCGTTGGTTTCACCGCTGGAGCAAACGAGGCAATGCAATAAATAATTGATGTACCGCGTATTCTTCAGATATTATCTGAGTAATCGGAAACAATGTGAGAGCATCAATAATTCATCATCTGTATAAAGATCAGTTTTACATGGAGTACCACAAGGTTCAGTGTTACGTCATCTCTTGTTATTCATTTTTTATGTAAATGATCTGTTTCATAACATGTTCCTTTCGCAGACGACACAACCTTGGTTGATGCTATAGCATGGATATTGAAGAATTGAAGGTGAATAGTTCTGTAATTACGACTCGTGCTAAAAAATGTTTTACTTCCAATAATCTCAAATTCAGTAGTGATGAAACACAACATCTCCTCTTCCCATTGTTCAAAGTGATAGTGTAAAGCTGCTTGGTTTGGTCATCGATGATAGACTGAAATGGTCTTGTAATGTTCAAGAACTATCTCAAAAATTCTCGACCGTCTCAGTTACGGCACGTTGTTGAGGGGAAACACTTAGAGAAATTTTTCGTTTGCAGAAACGTGCTGTCAGAATCGTTGCTTGTGCTGGTTTGAGAGACCACTGCTAACCAATTCTTAAAAGTTTGAATAATGCCTCTTCCATCGTTATATATTTTTGATTCACTATTGAAAATCAATCAGAATATGATGAACCTCGTCTTCCTAGTTCTTTCAAGTTATTGGGTGAAAATATAAAATCAAAGTCCGCAGTCGAAGAATATGTCCACATGCCATTTGTTGAATTTGATAACAACAGTTAGGACGAAAAACGCTGTACCATTATGATGATTGAGCAAAAATTGTTTTTCGTTTCAACGATTTTAATTTTATTGAAATATTTCATGTTCGTAGATAGAAACATGTTCAAAACTTGAACACATTTATCCACTCAGAATAGTTCGTAAGTAGATAAGCTATGGGGATTCTGGACCAAAATCCCATGTTTTTTCTTATGAAGTTTCATTCTATTCAAAAATGAACATTTCTCGGGCAGGTGGGCAATCTTGGCGGCTGGTGGTAGGACGGATAATGTGAATGGGTGTGGCTTATTCATTGATCTTGAAGGTGTTTCTGAGAGACAGAACAGTGACGTGAATGTATTTTATGATCTGTTTCTCCACAATTGACTTGCCGAAAACAAATTCATTTCATAACTTGGTTGAATTAACATCTATTTAAAACGTCTATCTATTCGAAGTCGATTTTGAGCCTCGAATGCAAGGTTATCTTCTGACTATTTCGTGAATTTCTTCAGTAAACACCATTTGAATACCCTATGATTTCAGGAGAGAATGGAAAGTAGCGTTTGGCGGTAAACTCGAATTTCCAGTACTTACGTCATTATCTCTTTTCCTGTGTTAATAACGGTTTTATTATATGTATAATAAAAACAACATTTCTCAATTTTCGAATTGATCCCTCTGTGAATCATCGAGATCATTCGATGTTCAAAGATGTAGTGAATTATATGATTTCTTATCGAGTAGTATGTAGTTAAATCTTGACAGTGTTGAATTTTAGAATATACAAACAAGCTGAAGAATCGGAAAGGACGGCAACGCTACTCATCTCACAGAATAGTGAAATACCGATTTCCCAAACTACCAATAGACGGTCGACGCGTAATAGTACTTCTGGCGTCAGTACCGCTGACGATTTTTGGTCGTGTTTCAACAGGAGCATTTCTTTGGAATTTATTCCGGGAAATCTAAGACAAACTTCAACTTCAAGGGCTTATTTTGGAACAAGAGTGGACGACTTTTGATCCGATTGCAGAAAATAGTTGATTGTTTCATTAGGATAAAAAAGAGGCAACATTTTCCTGTCGAACAAAGTTACTTTTGATTCGAATGAAACATGCTATTCTTCTTGCAGCCGAAGGAATTAACACCTAACAATGAATTATTATAAGTGAAGTAACCACAAAGTAACCACCAACTCACTTGATAGATTATTATCAAAATAATATGAGTGAGTAGATAGAATTAATGCCTCAATTTTTGTTGACATGCATTATGTCAACAGAGACTACAGGTCAGGTTCATTCAATTTTCAAGGATGTTCGAATTGTGTCAATCAATATAAATATCAAGAATTGACCACGTAATTGTGTTTGACATTTTTGTTGAATACAATAAATACTAACCTATGTTGTTCAACCTTGATGGCCTAGTACTAGTTCATCGTTTTCAGGCACTAGGAGTCAAAAATTCAATTTCAACTCCTAGGAACTAAAATTGTTGCCAAGCAACATACCTATTTTTGTGTCAGTGATAGAAATGCATCTTCAATCAACTCTTGATTTTGAAACAGACATTATCATGAAATCTTAAATTGGAAATAGTTAACTACGAATTTGGAAATTGATAAAAGTGAATAAACAATTTTTTCAAATTTCCAATATTTTTCAATAGCTGAAAGCAGATTACTTACTCACAGGTACGCACTGATGATGACTTAACAGTCGCTCTGCTACGAGTAATAAATTTGAATAAATTATCTTGCACGAAATACAAAACGACCCTTCATTGGTATTTTTGGATCTCATCGTCATCACTTGACATTTTATAACTGAAATTTTGAAATATCAACAGCAAATAATCGTCATCAAAATAATATTACTTGCCTGCTTTCGGATTCGTTTGATAACTTGATATATTGATGGATAGATAGGTTAGCAACTGTCATTTACTGAAATTTACACATCGCCTAAGCAACGAAACAAAGTCATCTGTCAACAGACCTATGAAAACCAAGCGATCGCCCGCTTTACGCACACGTGCGTGAGAAGAGTTTTGTGTACAATATTCATCACTTACGGCCAATATAAACACCTGAAAGGAATCCTCTGTGAACAGCGAGTGAGACAAAAATTTTGTTCAGGCAACCCACAGCCCTAACAACACAGGGATGTTCTGGGCGCGTCCCTTTTTTGTCCCGCCGTACAAGGACATGATTGGTGCATCCAGGGTGTGTCCCGCAGTTGTTGTCCAGTGGACATCCTGCCCGGTACTTCCCTAGGTTATCCTATCCGTGTCCTTGGAATATCTGATATTCATTCACATCAGAGTCATTAAATTTCATCAAAATATTGAGTAACATTTTTTTGAAAATGTTTGGTTTTCTTTCGGAAAATAATTGTAATGGAAATAAAGAATATAGTCCCAGAACTTCTTAAGAAATGACCATTTTTCGTAAACAGAAATCGTAAATGCATAATGCCCTCAATTTTCAAACACCCAAGAACGATAATAATTATACCCAAATCCTAACAAAATTGTATTTATTCAGGTTTCTGTAGTTTAGTCCTGGTAATAAACCTGTTTTGTACATAAATATTTATAAGGCATATCAGCCAATGGAGTAAGGTGCGTGCCTGATAAGCTAAAGGTCTCGGGTTCAATCCCTACTCGACCTACATTTTTTTTGTCGGAGGGATGTATCTGGAATATCCTTGAGATGTCCCAGGAATATTCTTTCTTCGTACTTGGTACATCCTAGGGACGTACCATAAGGACATCCCTTGGATTCCTTTTTTGTCGGCCAGCGGATGTCCCTGGGACGTCCCTAGTATGTACTATGTCCTGACAAAGGATATCCCTCTGACGTCCTAGTATAAAATTAGGGACGTCCCTAGGAAGTCCCTAGGGAGTGGTTACGGATCCCTATCTCTTTCTATCTTATGTTGGCTAATGGAAAGAGCTCGCATTATTTGAAATATTTTCTTGTTTTTTGCTTTCATTTAAGAGTATATGTGATTAAATATGAATATTCATTCAGGAAAAAGGATGATGTTGCAATCAATCATTATTTGAAAATATTTATTGATTTTTTATTGTCTCGAAAGTGAAATTCCACTTTTATTCTCATACAGGATCAGGAAGGCAAATGAATACAAAATTGGAATTATATATTCTCATTCAAATGTCACAATATATTGTACAATGTGAGCAAAGATCAATGTCTCAGCACTATTAGAAGGAATAAAAGAACGATAAAAAAAATTGAAAAGAGGTTTTTGAATGGTATCGAGTACCTGAGGTCTAAGCCTAAGTTTTAAGAGTACCTATTTGTCCATAAACATTTCACTATCAGAAGGTGAATGGAAGGTGAATAAAAAGTTAAGTACAATGTTCGGACGATTTTTTCCATTGTAGATGAATATCTGCGTTGCCCAGAATGTCCACCTATATTTTTTCCTTTCTGAAGAAGGAGAAGCTCCAAAGGTGAATCTGAAAAGTCGATTTTATGGTGTGACTCTTGACTTTAAGAATTTGAACTTATAGTTTTCACCTTCGAAATGTTGTTTTAGTACCTCATCAAGATTGTCATTCTTCTTTTCACTTTTTGTTTCAGTGTTTTCACTTTTCTTTGCAATAGAATATGGAAGCTGGAAGTTGTAAGCGAATCAATGTCCATATGAAAAACATTGTCCTTAGAATCCAAGTTATGTTCAACTTACCCATGGAGTACAGTTCCTGTTTGTCTTCCTTTTTTTGCATCCAAAGGCAACACAATATAAATAATCATTGTTTATTAATTCGAAATCACAAATCTTTTCAACAAAAATGTAGCGATATTTCACATACAACACTAGTGTGGAAGAGACAAGCCGTAACACAAGCTATCTATATTGCAGCAGCCCCTGACACACTCTGTGCTATTCGAGAAACCGGCAGTCCCCCTTCCAGGTGTTTATATTGAGTTAATTGCTTACAGAAAAGGTCGTAGAAAAAAGTACTTACTTCTTACCTGCCCCGCCTTGAACGGATTCGCCCCAGGCACGTCGAGCGTTCCTCCCTGTCCCGCCTGGTACGTGCCGTACCCCTCCTGCTGCTGCGCCAGCTCGTGCAGCTTGTTGCTGGAGAGGGCTCGTGGCAGCGGGTTGCTGGGCACGCCGTGGGGCGCCAGGTGTGAGGTCTCCTCTGCCACCTGGCGCGGGTCCTCGGTCTGTGGCAGGTCGCGTACGAAGCCCTGGTCGGCTCGGTAGAAGTTGATGAAGATGAAGGCAGCAAGCACCTGCGTCATACGTTATCAGATCACTTAGAGCTCAGAGCATGATATTTGTTCTTTCATAAACTACCTACACTCAGGGTTATTGTGCTATTTATGACAATGAGAATATCAAAAACCCTACTTCGGGATGTTGACCAACATTTACCCACTCCTGTAATTGTTTCCGATTCCGAACCGATATTTTCAAAGCAATTGAACCAGAACCAATTGTATTCTATGATAACGTACAGTTCCATCAAGAAAATGTAAGATTTTTAACCGTTCTGTACGCGGCTTATTGATGTCTTATTTATCTATATATCTGACATGAATGTGGTTATCATAACCGTCAAAGTTATGGAAGTTAATGGGATCGGTAATGGACTTTTTATATTTGAAGTTGCGATCAGGTTTCAATGCGTATTTTTCCACCCATAAAAGGCTCCTGTGTAGTGATTAAAATTGTAGAGGAGCTGTATGAATTCACAGTTGTAAACTCACCTACATTTGGACGTTATTTATGTTGATCAAGATATGGGATGAATGATATTTGAGGTCTGATTGCGATCAGTTTTGAGATAATAGTTTTGTAGTTTGATGAGTGATGGATGGTCAATGGAAAAATCCAATCACTCAAAATATTCTGATAAAAATTCAATAATATTGAATCAAGAAATAATTGCTTGCACCCAATAACTGACAGACTCCTGTTGTTTTAGTGGTTTTGAATACCTCCAAGTGAATTATATGAAGATTGGTTAGAGGTCCTGCATCATAAATTAATCTACACTGAGGAAAATTGTGCTATTCATTGTCAATGAGTTTTTGAGCTGTACTCCACTCCTGTACTTGTTTTTGACTCCGAACCGATAATTTGAACCAGCATCGACTGCAATCAATGATGACGGTACGGTTCCATCAATAAAATATATGATTTTCAACCATTTTGTACGCAGCTCTCACGAGAACAAACCTCTCATTGATGCACGATATCTCTTTATTTCTTACAATAATGTGGCTGTCATAACCGTCGAAGTTATGAAATGGACGGGGTATCCGGTGTTCTCCTCCGCCACCTGGCGCGAATCCTGGTCGGTTAGTTGACTTCATTCCACTTCTGTACTTGTTCTCGATTCCGAACCGATATTTTTAAAGCATTTGAACCAAAATCAACTACATTTCATGATGACGGTACAGTTCCATCAGAAAAAGGTAACTTTTCTCACGAGTATGGAAGATTGTGGCACGAACCTGAAGGCTGAATTTTTACTTTCCGAAAAATATTCCATTTTTAAATTTCTTGTCCATTCCATAAATTCGTCGGCAATTCATACTTTCTTCTCGAAATATTTTTCTCAATTTAATATGAATAGCTATAATGTTTTTATATTCATTGGTAATTGCGATTTTCATCAGAGCACGAATGAAATGTACCTTAAGCATTTAAAAACTGTGACTGACTGTGACAACTATTCAGAGCTGAACAGCAGCCAACTAAGTTCTTTCCTTATGGATGTTCGTGGTGTTGGCAAAGTGCCGTGTGAGGAATACAATTTCCCACAGTAAGAGAAATTCATGATTAAGAGAGCTATGATAAAGGCACTACTTTTGATAGCAGTAGGAAAACCCTCCATCAGTGCCTGATTTCGATATATTCCCAACATGAATATGGCTATCATAACCGACAATGTTATGAAAAATAATGGGAACATTATCGATACAACTTCTTTGTTGAGAAATGAGCATAAACAAATATTTTGTATTGTAGAACTTTCAATTAGGCTGAAGATGGTCTTTCAAAGGACTGAAACATGTCCCTTATGATTATGTAACAACATTATTGAAATTTGTGGAGATTACTCCCAGCATTCTTTCCTCCCTTCAAAGTATGGTAGAGATAGAAACGAATGCATCCACCTACCAGTAGACAGGCGATGCCGTACCCCCGGAAGGTGGTCGTGGACCCGAAAGCGTTGACCAGCATACCGCCCACGATGGCGCCGCACCCTCGGCCCAGACCGTGGTGGATGCCCTGCAATACGCCCTGGGCGGACGAGCGCAGCTCGACGGGCGTATTGTGGGCGATGTAGGAGCAGCAGGCTGCCCACACGGCCGCGTGCGTGATGCCCTGGAAGGAAAGAATTAGCGTTTCATTGCAAGACGACAATAAATGAACAAAAAATAGGAGAAACGATTCGGGTAGTTGAACATGTCTGAAAGGTGGTACGGATGAGTGCCTATAGATCTATATGTAAAGCTGGACAAGCGTGTTGTGGGCGATGTAGGAGCAGCAGGCCGCCCACAAGGCTGCGTGTGTGATGCCCTGCAACCAAAGAATGGGCGTTTATTGCAAAAAGGCCAATAAATGAACAAAAAATAGGAAAAACGATTCGGGTAGTTGAGAATGTCTGAAAGGTGGTAGGGATGAGTGCCTATAGATCTGTTTGTGAAGCTGGACAGGTGTGTTGTGGGCGATGTAGGAGCAGTGTGCCGCCCACAAGGCTGCGTGTGTGATGCCCTGCAACCAAAGAATGGGCGTTTTATTGCAAGAAGGCCAATAAATGAACAAAAAATAGGAAAAACGATTCGGGTAGTTGAAAATGTCTGAAAGGTGGTAGGAATGAGTGCCTATAGATCAGTTTGTGAAGCTGGACAGGCGTGTTGTGGGCGATGTAGGAGCAGCAGGCCGCCCACAAGGCTGCGTGTGTGATGCCCTGCAACCAAAGAATGGGCGTTTTATTGCAAGAAGGCCAATAAATGAACAAAAAATAGGAAAAACGATTCGGGTAGTTGAAAATGTCTGAAAGGTGGTAGGAATGAGTGCCTATAGATCTGTTTGTGAAGCTGGACAGGTGTGTTGTGGGCGATGTAGGAGCAGCAGGTCGCCCACACGGTTTCGTGTGTGATGCCCTGGAACCAAAGAGTCAGCGTTTTATTGCGGGACGACAATAAATGAAAAAAAATAGGAAAAATGATTCGAGTAGTTGCAAATTTCTGAAAGATGGTAGGGATAAGTGCCTATAGATCTATTTGTAAAGCGGAACAGGCGTGTTGTGGGCGATGTAGAAGCAGCAGGCCGCCCACACGGCCGCGTGCGTGATGCCCTGAAACCAAAGAGTCAGCATTTTATTGCGGGACGACAATAAACGAGAAAAAAATAGGGAAAATGATTCGAGTAGTTGCAAATTTCTGAAAGATGGTAGGGTTGAGTGCCTATAGATCTATTTGTAAAGCTAGACAGGCGTGTTAGGGGTGATGTAGGAGCAGCAGGCCGCCAACAAGGCTAAGTGTGTGATGCCCTGCAACCAATGAATGACCGTTTTATTGCAAGAAGGCCAATAAACGACCAAAGAATTCCGAAAATAATTCGTGTAGCTGAAAATGTTTGCAGAGTGGTAGGATAAGTGCCCGCAGGTCTGCTCGACGAGCATATTGAACTAAAAATAGGGATAATAAATCATGTAGTTGGAAATTCTTGTAGAATGGTGAATGTTAGTAAATAAAGGTCTGTTCGTGAAGCTAGACGGACGTATTGTGGGCAACGTAGGGCCCACACGGCAGCGTGCGTGTCCTGGAACCAAAGAATCGGCGTTTTATTCCTTCAACATCCGAACTGCGAAAAAATATTGATTGTGGATTCATTTAGATCTTTCTCAATGTTCACATATTTAGAATGACCAATTGTGAACCATTCCACCAGTGGACCTTACGACTCACTAAGACTTGTGATGTTTACTGGTGTGATCATCAGACCGGCTGATAGAGATTGATGATAATCATATATTTCGTTACGTAATAAAGAAATCATGTACATGAGACCATCCAGTCCCCTATATATGAAAAAGTAACTGAAAGGGTAATATGTGAATTTACACCATTCAAGCACTGTATTCCAAAAGTATTCCTAATTTTTTATTTTAATGAAGATATTGGCTCGTTGATAAAGACAAAGAAATAGGACGACGGTGTGAAGGTTGTATAATACAAGCCGATATGCGGTACTTATCCTTGGTGAGTGGCTGATGGGCGAATACGGCAAGTTTCGGGTAATATCAAGCTTCAACGGTTACGCCACATCATGAACTATATCCGAAAAATTGTAACCAACCATTTAGTTTACTGTTTCTTGATTGCATAATCACAATTTCAAAACCAAACGATAGAAGTCTCGTATTACTGGCTCCCTGATAACCACGAGACTTCTTGTTTCAAAAAAAGACAACTATATGGATATCTCAAAATCCTCTGACTACTACAATCAACAGCAGATAGGTAACAAACACAATAACCCTAATATATCTTTCTGCTGAGGAATGCTTTTGAAATTTTATATATACATATATAGAAAACTAATGTATTGGGGAATGCAGCAAGTAAAAGCGAAACTCTTTAAAGTTTATCCAAGCTTTCGGAAATGTTTATTTCCTTCTTCAGGGATGCTACAATGATATATCATATTAATGTGCACAAAAATAGATAATATAAATATACATACATCTTTGTTGAGATTAATTACATGGATGTTATAAGATGATAGACATATCATTACACATGGTGCCATCAGTAGGAATAAAAATCTCCACAATAGTCAAGGCAATAAAAAAGGCAAAATACTGACATTTAGAAATTTGAAGTCAAGACTTCTTCTTCTTTTTTCAATACCAGAATTTGTCTGTTCCAACCTAAACGTACATCCAGTGCACACAGCACTCTGAGTGATTTTGTTTTGGAATTGACAGAGAAGATTAGGTTATGTTGGTCCTAACCGCGTTAACCATAACCTGACTTTCCATCCGTGGTTTTCCAGCATGGATGTGAATAATAATTTTTTAAAATGTTAATTATTTCGTCTGGTCTTTTTACAAATTTCTAAATGTCAGTATTTTGCCTTTTTTATTGCCTTGACTATTGTGGAGATTTTTATTCCTACTGATGGCACCATGTGTAATGATATGTCTATCATCTTATAACATCCATGTAATTAATCTCAACAAAGATGTATGTATATTTATATTATCTATTTTTGTGCACATTAATATGATATATCATTGTAGCATCCCTGAAGAAGGAAATAAACATTTCCGAAAGCTTGGATAAACTTTAAAGAGTTTCGCTTTTACTTGCTGCATTCCCCAATACATTAGTTTTCTTCCTACTGGTCAGCAACGACTTCCCTTCCATATACATATATATATATATAAGGAATATACATGTACCAAATTTCGTTATCTCACCACAGAGGGTTTCGAAGAACTTTCATCTCGGGCCCTCTTTCAGATGGCTATAACTTCTCAGGGGGGCATTTCTGGGCTCATATTCATATGAACTTATTTCACTATTTTCATTCCTAGAATCTGTGGTTGCAATCTTTCTATGCAATTTCGGGACAACCTGTATAAACATACATAGCAAGCTAGTATAAGCGTGTTAATAAAAATTCCTTGGATATTCGAAATGATTTCAAACTTATCGATTTCTCTGATCAACCATCTGGCATTCACTTGAGATTTGGCTAATCTGCTCTTGATTTGATTCTCAACTTTGAGCTTACTTCGTTCATGAAGTACAGGTTGTCCTATTTTCGATGCGCTCACAGGATATCTCACTTATTTTTGAAGATACCTTGAGATCTGCGGTTCTCGCGAATGTTGGTTGCTTCTTGTGGAACAAACAGAATTTTTATACCTACCTTGCTTAGTTTTTGAGATACAAGGTGAAATTGAAAATGTCGCATTTTGGAACCTCCCCTGTATCTCAGTTATATTTCAACTCACCGAAAATGTGAAAACTGACTCTTATACATTTTATCCATGTAGAATCCAGTGGCGTAGTCAGATTTTCGAAATAAGCTGTCATAATTCATATATAACCCAAAGCTATGTTTTCTCAAATAGAACACCGTGTATATTTTTCCATATTCAAAACGTTGATGACGCTTTGCGTATTCCAAAAATATATAAAATGTATACGATATTTTGAGCATTAGCCATGAACTTAAAAATATTCTAGTTTTTTAGTAGATTCATATCGATGGACATTGTAGATATGTGGCAACATTGTTCATCTCACAAATTTTGTATATCAACCTTATCTCTGGCACAATGCCAGTTTCAATTTTACCAAAAAGCTCCATTTACCCTCATTCAGCACTATTTATCGACTATAAAAGCTGTGGACCTTATTAGTAGGTGGCTATGGAAAAAGGCGAGTGTAAAATGTTTATGGTTATAGATTATCATTGGCTGTTTCATAAAAAAATTGTGAATTCGATAGGTATAGGTGACAAAGATTATGAAGTCATATACTAATCTTGTTCACAGCTTTTATAGTCAATGAATGGTGCTATATGAATATTGTTGAATGTTGAATGTTGTCAAAATTGAAAGTAGTGTTTGACGAAACACTCTATCAGCAACAAGCTCAATATGAAAATTTGTAGAATGGATAATGTTTTCATATATTTAAATGACCATCATTGAAAAATCTTCTGAAATATAGATTATGTGTCCCATTTAAAAAAAAACATAACGCCACCAGATTTTAAGATACTTTTTCTATAAGTAAAATGATAGCTGAGATACAAATAGGTCTCAAAATGCAACATTTTCAATTTCGCCCTGTTTGTCAAAAAGTGAGCAGGCTGAATTGAACAAGGAAGTAGCCAACGTTCGCGAACACCGCACATCTCTATCTTTGAAAATAATTGAGATATCCCCTCGGACCTTGGATATCCCGTGAGGACATCGAAAATAGAACAACCTGTTCTGATATGTTCTCCAATTGCCGCCAAATACTTGATAATAAACCAATTCTCATATCATGTTCTCTAAGAAAAATATTCAGACTTCTTAATGGAGTTCATTCACGTAGGGATATTGCTCATAATAAAATTCTTTCTATGCCTCGTAAACACTTGATGAAGATTTTTCGAGTTCATATAATATACCTAAATGTTCACTGTCCTTATTTGAAACGACCTTCTCCTCCCTGAGTGCATTCCTTCTCCTAATAATGAATTCCCCGCGTCCATTACAGTGAATACGAATAAGACTGTTCGTCATCAGTTCTTCTCAAAACTGAAACTGAATTGATACTCCAACTGAACTATAGTAATCCATGATTTTTTCAAGAATGTTTGTCGACATTGAAATTAGTTCTACAAGACAATATAAACTGCCCCGCATTTGAAGTGAGACAAGCCAAAATATCTATCGTTTTCGAACCGTCACAAATTTGGATCGGATCAACAAACTTTCAATTTCTCTCAAGATCCTAATAGATCGCCTTTGAAATGGCTGGGATGTATGTTCTCAAAAGCGATTTTCTCTAGATCGGTACAATATATCGACTGAAATGAAAAATACTATTTTTGTAGAAAAAAGATGAAGAGTTCAAACGATGAAAGCAAAGTGTCAAATTTGTCACCTTTGACAAATATGACATTATTAAACGATAAAAACTCGTCCCATCCTGAAGCTATACATGAAATTAATTTTGTTCATTCAAATTTTTTTTATGAAGTATAAACATTATTTTGGCTCACTCTATCATTTACGACATGACCTTTCCGGACACCCTGTATAAAAGTAGCTATAGGTAAGCACAACAATTGAATAAAATAATAAAAAAAATGAACTGTCGATACGCGCATAGCTCAGAACGATTGCGACAAATCTCAAATTTTCTTTGCAAATTCGTATACCAACCGTGCTAAGCCAGGCCGGACAGCTAGAATTCAAATAAAATTCCAAATTTTATGAATTCTCAAACAGGATTTGTTTTTATTCTTGAATAAAAAAAAATGTGATTTCCTTAAGAGATTTTCGATCAAATGAAACCCTTTATAGATATCATCAAGCCATTCGATGAAGCCTTAAATCCTTTTTTCAATTACATATCACAAGTGGATATTTGTTTGCGAAATGGCGGCGCAGGAGAAATTATTTCGAAAATTAATTTTGCGACACTGTGATACAATTGATCGAATTTTCATCAAACAACCTTATAGAATGGAAAATAAACGTAGCACTTTGAATAGTGCGAAAATTTTGATTCGTCGCCAATCAGGATTCATTTCAGTGATTCTTTCAAACTACATTCTTTCTCTTGGATTTTTTTCAAAATTTTAAATAGAAAATGGTACTTTTTAAAATTATGATGGAATTAAATATAAAGTAGTAGTGAAACTCCCAGTCATCTAAGTTTCTACCCAACTTATTAATCATCTGAAAAAATTAAAATAACAATGTTTTACACTTTTACGATTGATATTCAGTTCAAAAGTAATTTCTTCTCAGTTTTTAAAATAAGTTCCAGCGAAGACTACCTGCCAAGAAATAGCGATGAAGGGGCGTCTATCTCTTGATCCAAATCATTATGCATTACAAAAGGTTCAGTTATGCCATGGACAATTGACGACATTTGACCGAAAATTAATTTGACACTTCTGTCATCATGAATCAATTGATTTTAATATTGTGTAACTGCATTTGGAAGTTTTGATCAGAAGTTCGTACGGAATATGAATAAGAAGCGTATGATAATCATATATACTGATCCAAAAAGGATATTATTGGTATTTGTTTTATGATAGTGATAAAGATATATCGATGCCAAAAGATAAATACTGAAACTAATTCTTCCTACCTTCCTCGGAAGTTAATATTTTTTTCCTCCCATGAGAGTAAATTGACAACTTTGTTTCCTTAAATGGAGGAGCAAACGCCTATTTTAGATTCAGTGAGTAGATAAAAATGTTTTCCTCCATTCTTTGGGGCTCGAAAATGTAGGTTTCTATCAAGTATATAGAAAAAATGTTCATCATTCACTTGCATGAACTCGAAGGGCAACACCCACCACGAATTCGTCAACCACGATATATACAGGAACCTCAGCGTGTTTCCGATCGGTCCCTAAACAAAGCACCTTCACGCGTTCCATCTGCCTGATCAGCCTGGAGCTGAAGAAGTTCACGAACATCTCCGAAATGTGGTTGATGACGAAGGCGACTCCGAAGAGGTTTACGAACCCCAAAAATTTCTAGATTTATCCTCAGAATATTCTGATTTATTTTCAAAACTTTGAGGTTCATTCTCAAAATTTTGAGAAGTATTTTTCTCTAGACCAATGTAGCTATAGTCCGCAGGATATACAGAGAATTACCACTTTTTTTCAATAAACATGATATGTTTGAGGTCGTCATTCTCATAATGTTCTAAAAATTATAATGCGTGCATCCTTATAAGAACAACTGCAGAAAGTTGTGAAAGTATATGCGGCTATATCACAAATCATCAAGTAAGTGTTGCATCGTCGCCATGGTGTTGACAATGCTCTGGTGCTATGACATCTTCGATTATAAAAACATAACAGTTGTTATAAGCTCTCACGTTGTTCACTCCTGCAGGTTTGCTTATTTCAAACTTTAAAAATGAGTTCTAGCGACGAAAACCTGTCAAAAGAACTTGCAAAAGAGGCAACATTGATTTCGTTGCATCTTCTAGTCCTAATAAATCGAGAGAGCAATATGTGAAGGAATATAGTGTGTTCTAAAAATGGTTGCAAGAGCGCGAAGTCTTCGAAGATGTCACCCTAGTAGTTTTTTCGCAACGAGCAAGAGAATCAGAACCTTCAATAGTATGGAGCAACTATAGTATGCCACGATCAGTACTGAACGTTAGGGAAAATATATAGACATCGAGTGTCGAGAGAAGCCAGGGGTTACTTAGAGAAAGAAAAATGTTCTTAGTTATTAGCTTATGATCACAATTCAATAAACACGAGTACTATCACATAATATAAGATTGACATGGGGTATACTTGTTCTAATGAACCAGCCCTTGCACATGTCTGTGATAGTCAGCTAGTGACGTAGGCACATTCCACTGAGCATTGTCGTATGTTATTGCTAGACACCAACAGCAATGATTTACCTGCATGAATTCGAAGGGCAACACCCACCACGGATTCGTCAACCACGATATATACAGGAACCTCAGCGTGTTCCCGATTAGCCCCAAACAAAGCACCTTCACGTGTCCCATCTGCCTGATCAGCCTGAAGCTGAAGAAGTACGCGAACATCTCGGAGATGTGGTTGATGACCGAAGCGACGCCGAAAAGGGTGGGCGAACCCCCATAATCCTGCAGGTGCCAGAAGAGGAAGGTGAAGATCATGCCGATGCCAAAGCCCATAAACCAGGCGACGAAGAGGAAGGAGGCGCACTTGAGGTTCTTGTAGTGCCGCATCACCGTCACCCATTCGGGCATCTCTCTGGTCGTCTGGGCGAAGATCTTGGACTGAAAAAAAAGGTGTTGTCATGCTTTCGAATCTTAAGTTTCTGCTTGGCGCTGAAAGAGTTATAGACTACACGCCCAGGCAACTTTTGGGTGGGGTCATGTGAACCAGCAATATCAATACTGAAAGCCAGTATTTCTTTCCAATTTCCGAAAATGTTCGTGTCCATCATAGTTCAATGGAGCTTAATGAGGGGAAAATAATTGAAAATCAAAAAAAAATCAAAATTTATGAGATTTCTAAATTGCATTTTGATTCATTTCAGGAGCAATTTTCAGAATATTATTGCTTTCTTTCATTCTTCGAGTATATAAACGCAGAAAAAATATACCATACATTTTTTCAGTCATCAATATTTGTAAGGCATTCATGAAATTCAATTATTAGCAATAAAAAATTATTCTTTTCTCAAGGGTTCGAAATGTTACTTTTGTGATCGAGAACTGTTTGTTTAACGAGACGCAGCCGAGCAAAAAAATAGCCGAGATGACCAAAATATTTCGCGCACGAATTGCAACAACCTTTTTCTATAAACTTAGGAAAATATAGTTCTGAAGTAATAATATGCATACCTCAATATTGAAGAATATAGTGTTGAACTGGCTCGAAAAGCCTTGATTATTGTTGAACATTCAGAAATAAATGATTTCTTGGATGCTTGCCCAATTAAGGACCACAAAGTTCAAATACAAAAATCTCATAAAGCTCACATATACAATGCGCGAAGTATGTATTCTGTAATCTGATTGGCTAGGCTGTCTAGGTTTATTATTTTCCGTCAGAAATAATCCTGAGTATTTGCCATGACAATAAAGTCAAACTCAGGAATACCCTATAAGGAAGGTGCAGACATCGCACCCACTTCACAGCCAACTGCGAAGTAAATCCTAACGCTTAGCTGGACAAGTTCTACACACTTATCCCTGTCAAGGTTCCTACCCCCCTAGAAGATAGCTAAACCTGATTCTAAAGCTGCTGAGTTTTCGTCAAACCCACGTTGGACACCACGTCGGCGTTGCACCAGTACCAAGGAGGTTCCTATCGCCTAGCCCTACAAAAGTTGAATAAGCCTCTTAGTCCCTGTCGAGCTATCTTAACCTGACTTCCGACGCAAACCGTGTGTCTCGCAGGTCCACTAAAGGCGTTTATCGCCCTCTTGGACCGTGGCTGTCTTCAATACGAATGTCAAGAGTCCAACATTAAAAATAGCTGAATGACATAAACACAGGTAAGAATCAAGCAGCTCTTTAATAAGCGTTGGATTAAATTCAAAGGAATATCCTCTTTCTGATGTGTCCTACTTTTCAAGTTGAAACCAAACAACTCACCTTCTGCTCCTTGCTAACCGAGTGCACATCCGACGCCCGCGTATCTTTCAGCGACGGCAAATCCAGCTGCTCGGCCAGCTGCGCCTGCATTCTGTCCTCCTCCGTCATCATCCCCGCTATCTTCCCCTCCTCCGCCGTCTTTCCCTCCTCCTCGGGCGCTTCGTACTTGAAGGAAATCTGCGTGGCGCTGATGAGCGCGGCGCCCATCAGCACCGAAAACGTGGCAAAGCAGATCGTGTAGTTCTTCTCTTTCTCGTCGGGACCGCATGGGTGGTGGGGGAAGGCAGTCGAGTGGTCGAGTGCGATACCGACGAAGAACATGGCGAGGCCCCAGCCAAGGGACCCAAACATGCGCTGGAAAAAGCGGAGGAACGGTTATTACGGTGCGTGGAGGTTCGTTTACTATCGATACAATAAGGCCGCGATGAACTGTCGTGAGAATTTCGTCACATCGCCTATACTAGGCCAAAATATTGTATATTCGGTGCGCGGCCACTTGAACTCAGTTGCGATGATAGAAAACCACTATTGCGATTTAGATTTGCCTACTACTGTTGCGTGGCGATGCCACAGCCGGCTCTATAACAAGCCGCGATGAGAGAAATGCAACACCGCATCGCCGTGATCCGAAAGGTCTACTCCACTGAACTATAACCCTACAAATGGAATGCTGATACAGCAACCTGCTCGTGAATATTTTACGCTTCCCATGGAGATCGTGACTTTAAGGTTCTGCGCCGACGCAGTAGAACCAAGATATGAAAAGAATGTACGTGATTATCGAAATTGCTTACAATCGCAGACGTATGTCGTTGATTTGGTGTGCTCCCATCAGGAGAGGCTTACATATTTTTGTGCTCATCATCTGCCACGCCTCTATTATTGTTCGTTTCCATATGGTTTTTATTTCCATTGTTTCATTGTTCACGATCGTGTTTGTGTCCTGGTATTTGGATGGTATTTTGTTCGTTTATATTTTTGAGTTGTGACCGCGATTTTGGTGACTTCTCATTTGAGAGACTATTACTTAGACAATATAGGTCAGGGATGCATGATGTTCTTGTGCCGAAATGGAAAAAGAAAACAAGGTTTCTCCCATTATGATCATGTCCTTGACAATTCACTTTTAGAAAATTATAAACTCAGGTTTATAAAACCTATCGTAGAGATATACTTGAAAATAGAGTTGTATCACCTTGAGAGACAACAAACTGAGTTCATGAAAGGGCTGACAATTCGACAAAAAAATGAAAAAATTGGTGTTATTTTCCCACCAATAATCAATTACTATTGTGACAGAGTTTCAAAAAAAATTACATTTTCTCTTCTCTAGATTTTTAGCTTGTCAAATTAACGCTGAAGTATTTTGTGTTTAAATGTCAACATATTTGATGACAGCAAGGTGATGACAGTCTCCAAAAGACGTAAATTCTCATAGTATTATACATTATGATTCAAAACTCGGCAAAATAACGCCGAAGTATTTTGTGTTCAAATGTCCTCATTTGATGACAGTCTTCGAAGAATGTAAATTCACACACATTATAATTCAACATACTTCAATGGGCAAGAAATAATCGTTCATTGGCAAGACCGGCCCTGGTTTCAATATAACTGCGCATGCTCAAAACCTTACATCCGCCATGTCTGCGCGAGGTTCTAATGAGCGTATTATTGATTGATGCATCGGCATTCCATTAATGGTCTACTCTCGACTGGCTACCTAAGCGTCGGCCGTGGGCCCACCATGTACTCACGGCGTCGGGGTGGAGGTAGCCTCACGTGATTCCAGACACCACTGGTTAAAAGCATGAGGTGTCCACTCTTGTCATGGTAGTGGAGCGTGTGAAAGGCCGCGAAACGGACATACCACAGATTAACATCAAACGGGACTGGATAATAATAAGAATATCAAATATATTCCTTGAAGAGTTTAATATTCAGTTTTTCATTTCAATTTCATAGCACCTAGGTGATTTTATTTTTTCGATATCATTCGGAATTATATCATATAAATAAAGAATTAAATATTCATAATTCCTTTGTCCAATAGTTTCATTTGTTTTATATGTATATGACTTGAAATTAACATCGTTTCTATTCCTGAAAATGTAGATCAATAAATTATAAATATACAGTATGATGCAAATGTATGGAATAAATTCATTATTTCAGAAATGGGCGACATTTGAAAAAATTCCAGAAACACGTGAGGTTTCATTTTTGAAGCCTCATCTCATGATATCCATATGAGAGATGTTACGTCACCGATGTTGGAGTAATGACGTAATGAACGATTTTTTCAAATGAAAACAGGGGTCATGTGACACCTCGTTGAAAAGGTCTACTGATCGTCTATTCAACAGTCAAAATTTTGCATGAGAAAATTGAAATTAAAATGGATTATCATTTGATAAACTGAATCTTGCAGAGGTCTGCTACTGAGAATTGAACAACGAAGGGTAGTCTATTTAAAAAAATACATCAATTAATAAAGTTTTGAAGTCTAGTTTTTGGATTTTTTTCGGAAGTCGTCTTGTTTTGAAATGAATTTATTCCATACATTTGCATCATACTCAACTGAGACTGTTGTAGTGTTGATTTTGGTGGTGGTGAGTTTTGATATTGCCTCAAAGACGGTTGACGATAGAATCTAGTTTATTTCCCAATTGATTATAATAACCGATTATGCTTAGGTGGAAGTGCATTGCACTTCAGTTATACTTTGTTCGCTTATTCCAAATATCGACCTAATTATTGTGCAACGTTAGAGTTTTGCTGATAGCACTACACTGTACTAAAGCAAAATAATATATCGTTTCTAAATTATTAATGTTCAATGAATGTTTTAAACGTTGGAACTTAGGTATGAGACATCTAATTTCCTTTGTAACATAATCAACATAATAATCCCATTTTATATTATAAACAATCATTACGCCGAGATATTCAATACAATGAGTTTCTTGAATGTTAATTTTACTATTTATCTATTTATTCATTTATTTATTTCTCAAACAGGTTTACCCCTAATTACATGAGAAAACTATATACTACATACAAACTTAATTAAAGCTGATGTTTCCAATACTTTCATCATACTTGTTTGAGTAAATTGTAGAATTGTGGCGGGAGGGAGAGCAATATTAATTTCTGACAGAAGGAAAACATTATTCGTTATCTCCAATATAGAGATTACAGGGGAGCAGTTGTTCGTTGTTACCAGAGGGATTTCAAAAAACTGGTTAAGTCTTGTGATCCTATTGATCTTGATATTACCTGAGATTCGCCGAGAATTCTGAATAGATGTCATGTATTTTGTTTTTTTCGAAATTGATAGTCAACAAATTATTATCGAACCAATTTTTGATAGTTGGAGAATCATCGATTACCAAACTTTTCAATCCACTCCAATTTTTGACTGAGTAGAGAATAACAGTGTCATCAGCACTACTGATTTTGTACTCACGTAGAAACATTTTTCAGAACATCGTGAAGACGAAGAAGGATTTCAGGAATGAATCGTTATATTCAGAACAACCAGCATTTCATGACACATCTGGACTATGCGAGTCGTGACTTTCTTCTGCTCACCTGATGGCTGTACGTGTCCGAGTCCTCTCCGAGCAGCGTCAGCACCGCCGAATCCGCCAGAGTGATTGCCGGGGCGCTGAAGAACTCCCCGATGACGACGAGCAGCAGCAGCAGGAAGAAGGCCTTCTGGATGTCCTGCGTGTGGTACACGATGGACGAGATGATGGGCTGGACGAGGTTGGCCTGCTGCTCGGCGTCGTAGTTCGAAGCGTACTTGACGGTGATCGGGGATTGGCCGGCATTAAGGGTCGGTAGATTGAGTCTTTTGGATTGTCTGGAAAAAAGAAGGAGAAGAAGAGGGTTTATTTATTCATACGTTCGTTTATGGCAGGGGTGCTCAAACAGTCGATCGCGAAAATATATAATAATAATAATATAATATATCGTCTTTATTATTTCCAAACATAAAATGAATAAACATCAATCTTTTCTTATAAATACTATGAGTGGCAATAAGGGGCGAAGTTCATTTCCTGTAAATCAAGGATTTCCAGATCATGCTCTTCCACTTAACCCTCGAAAATAGAGAATATATGAATAAAGATCTATAGGTAGATATATATATACATGAAACAAATGTTAATCCAACCATTCAAACTGTGATACAATTTATTTCAAATCATGCCATTGTACTAGATAATTTTCATTCCCTTTGTTGCAAGATCAAATATTTGTTTTATCAAATCTGGCTGTTGAACAAATAGTTTTTAGTTGTTAATTTGAATTTTTTCGAATTCAGAGCTTCAAAAGTTTATGGTAAAGAGTTGTACATGCTGAAAATTTGATATTTGAACGACCGTCTGTATAGTTCTGTTCTGAACGTAGATATTGTGAGCATCTTCTTCTTCTTCTTTTTCGAAGCACTGGTGGGCGGGTGAACCCCCTGCACGTGGGCCTCCTTATTCGGGCCCATTGTGCGCCCACATGATACGACATTCAGCTGGGTATGCCGACTGCCTTGGAGAAGTTGAGCAGCTTCCTCAGCTGAATCTCTTTTACGTCCTCTGGCCTCAAAATTATGTTGCCAAGGACAGCCCTCCAGTGAGGACATGTGATGACGTTTCGTCATCTTCCAGGCACCATCTGCAAAGGGGGTCTTTCTTGATCCCAATAAGCTCTAGGTGCCTATTGAGGTGGTTGTGACCCGTTAGGAGCCCCACTACCATTTTAAGGTTTCGCCTGTTTAGGAATAAAACCTCTTTTGCGAGTCTCTTCGAAGGTTACTTTATGTGGAGCTTCGATTGTCTTATTCCTGGTGTGTCCTGCCATATTTTGAGAAATTGCTTTTGCAGCTGTTCCTCTATAGAGGACATTCCCAAGATTGGTTCCGGTCCGACCAAGGTCGGTTGAGAGCATTTCTTTACGTCTAATATTCAAATTATGTACATCAGTGCGATATGTTATTTTCCGGTGGAAATAAGGCGGTGTTTCTGTTTTAATGATATAATGGAATAGACACAATGCGTGATGTTTCCTTCTATTTTCCATATGTAACCAACCGATTTTCCGAAGTTTGTGTGATGTTCTTTGTGGTCTACGTATTCCATGAATCAATCGTAAACACGAATTTTGCATTTTTTGAATATGTTTCCATAGTATGTAGATAGTTATATTCGGACCATGAAGAACATCGGCATAATTGAATACAGACAGGATTATTGATTCACATAAGAACTTCTTCACGTGAAATGGAAGAAACTTTCGGTTACCGTAAATTATTTTGAGAGTTGCGTAGGCTCGTTGTATTATTTGTATCACATACTTTTCAAATCTCAAATTTGTATCCATGAGTACACCTAGATGTTTTGCTTCATCTACTATTGTTAGAGAGTTTCCAAGGACATGTATATCTAAAGATTGACCAACCGCTTCTCGATGATATTTTGGACCAAATATGAGAACATTTGACCTATCTGAGTTGATACATAGACAATGATCAGTAGCTGCCACCAAGAATCTATTCGAATCTGCATTGATAAATTCACCTGCATTAGCAGTCATTTCAACCGGAAAACTGAAGTACAACTGGGTATCATCAGCATATAAGGGATTGACAATGTTGAAGCTTCAAAAGTAAATGAGATATATAAATGGAAAACCGTAGAGGTCCAAGTATAGAGCCTTGCGGTACTCCAGAGGTGAGATTTAAATAACCTGAACAGCGATTATCTATACAAACTCTTTGTTGTATACCTTTCAAGTACTCATATAGTTACTCTCACTACAGTCGTAGGTCAATCGAGCAGGTGGTACATTTATTTTGCTTGATTAGATGGGATTGTCTCTCCTCTTTTCTACGGAATAAAAATATAGTGTTATTCCAATGTACATGTAGTAGGTGAAATAAGATGATTAGCCCCATAATATCCCAGCGTTTCAATGTCTTTCAACAGTGAGCCTAAAAGAAAAATCTAATCGTTTGTCAGTGACAATTTGTGTGTAAAAATGTTTGAAGGAAGGAAATATAGATACATTGAGGAAATATCGAATTATTCTCTGCCAGTTGTCTTTTTATAGTATGACACTTCTCACTGACATACTGATGTTTGCATATGAATGAGTGATGTTAGCATACAAATGAGTTACAGGATGTTTTCATTGATTGATCAAGAATCTTCCATTTCAATGTTCAATTTTTAGTAGTGAATATAATGTTCTATGTATATCAACTGAACTGAAAGCAATGCTATTGTCTCCGTTCAGAAGAAGGCCAGCGGATCCTTTGACTTTGCTCTATTGGTTATTTCACTCTGCCATATGTTGTCCATATACTGGAATAAATGGACGTATTATAAAAATGTAACTTACCGAGAATAGTATTTTGCATTTCAATGTTGAACACGGGAACAGATTCTTTGGCAAACTCCCAAAGATGAGTAAAAATCCGATAATTCTCCAATATATCTATATATCTTTCCTTCAATCATTTTACAAAACAACTTGTCACTGACACATGATTGAATTTTTATTTTAGGTTTCCTGATAAGAACAATTCAAACGCAGTGACATTCTGGAGCAAACCATCTGATTCATCCTACTATACGTATTAAAGAACGATGTTCATATTTTCATTTCATAGAAACGAGGAGAGAAAATCCCAGATAATCGAGCAAAACGAATAGTGACTATGCCAAGCACACTGCGATCTACTGCTACATACCTATACCTCTACACAGACGTCAGATTGTTGAGCCGCGGAAAATTTCCAGAAGGGATTTCAAGAACTGTTAGTGCCGAAACAGTACTGTCTCGCTCCTGCTGACAAATGTAGCAAATTTGGTCATCCTAGCTCTCTTAGTTATGAGATCTAGGTCAGAGTATTAGTCACGGAGATGCTTGTAAACGAAAAATGTCGGTGATTTCACTTCCCAATCAGGTGTGAGAAATGATTCGAATATCGTTATTTTGAAATCACAGAGGGCAGGTGAAACCATTAAGATATGGATATCGCAACGAACACATTTCTGAATAAATTGAAGCTAAACCAAAAAAACCCTATGAATTTTCCAGCGTCGGAAAGAAGGACAAGTTCTCTCCCAAATTATCACGACTACGGGATACACCCTGGAACCAGTTGAACCAGGGTGGTTCCAACGGGTTCCAGGGTGGTTTCAACTGATTCTAAGGTGGTTCCAGGGTGGTTCCAGCTGGTTCCAGGGTGGTTTAAACTAGTTCCAGAGTGATTTTAACTGGAAGCCTACAAGTATTATCTAACTCCAAATGGACTATCCATATCATAGTACTTCTTGAATGATCAATATCAGCATTTTCAGAAGTTATGATTGTCGACGAGAAATAGAATAGAAATTAATTATCATTTCGAAAACGGTGATAGATATTGTTCTGAAGTTGTTCTGAAAGTGTCATTCAAATATCAAGTATCAAAAAAGTTGTTTGGAAATTGTTAAAGATCATATACAGTTTGTTGCTACTACTTTCGGATAGAAGTGGCATTACCGCATTGAAGAAATTATTTTCGTTGCTTAGGTATTGTCCGAATAATTGCCCTCCATGAAATTTCCGAAGTGATTCGTTGTCTAATATTTCACCAGGAACGTCTATGTGTGCCATAAACCGTGAATCAGCCGTGACGAATGATTTTCCGTTTTGGGTGGTCTTCGCATGTTCATGGATCTCTCAGATACCCTGAGATTTTTAGTACTATACGATGAATAATGATTCATTTTATATTATTCCATCAGCTTGTTGAACCAGCAATTGTTATCGGGTAATGTAATTTTAACAATAGACTTGATTCGATGTCCAGAAGTATGATGATGAGTACATTTCTCACAACAAGAACAGTGAGAAATCAATAGCGGGCCAAGAATGTGAAGGTACACAAATCCTTTCATTAACGTTGCGTATCGCGGAGAATAGATCCTTGCGTATTGTGTGAAATTAAAAAATTGCCAGAATTGGCCTACGTAGGTACCTACTTATTCGAAATAGAGACATTGTATATCATTTTATAAATGAATATCATTGTTATAGAAATTCTAATCGTTCCGATACTGCGATAGCCAATGTGATGTATCAAACATTAATGAGAGGGTATAACAATTACAGCTCAAAATGATCTTCATGCTACTACTTTGTAATTGTTGTAGCTGCGTGATCTTATTCAAATTGAATTGTTATATCACAGATGCATAATGGTCGAAATTGTGTGTATCATGAGTAAGTAAATTATCCAATTGAAAGCACAGATACTTGACCGTTGTTCCAATTCCAATTTGCTCATTATCAATATTTATTTCTTTGTCATTTACATTCATTTGGCTATATTCATATTCAGTTTATATGATCATCGCCTTGCATGGTTTTTATCAATCTTCAAATATCCACTTACTCTTGTTACAACATAATTGATCTTTCGTGTAGCTGTTTCAAGGCATATGAATCACTACATGCTGATAATGTGTCATTAGCAAGTAGATTTATGAACCTACAATTCACAGAAAGGTTAATATCAGATATATATAGTATGAAGAGTATTAGTCCTAAGACACTTCTCTGCGGTACCCTGAGGTAATTGCAAATTTATCGTGAAGTTGGATTCCTAACTCTAATTCTCTGCGCTCTACCCTGCAAGTAACTTCCAAACCATTTTAGTACTTGCCTCGAATTCCGTATTGACACAATTTATTCAATAGTATATTTCAGTCACTGGTCTCGAGGGCTCTTTTGAGATCCAAGAAAACCGCTACAACATATTCACCATCATCTATGTGAAAGATAATGCCCCCGTCATTCTTCGCTCGCGAAAGTCTCTTGAAGACTTCTGAAGATTGCTCCGAATGACCGATACAACAATTTTAGAGCAATTATTTTATTAGGCACTTACCTGGCATACTCATCCACATAGCTGAGCACCTCCTCGGTCCCATCATCGTCTATGGGCCTTCTGATCGGTCGCACGCCCAACTTGGGCGTGGTCAGCACCGCCGAGTTGTTCCTCATGACCATGCAGGCCGAGGGTGGTGGCTGGATCGAGCCCAGCGGCACCGTGAAGACAATCCAGCAGGCTATGGATGCCAACAGCAGGAGCTTGCCCTTCTGCCATCTGCAAGTATGTAAAGAGCGTTAAGTCGAGTCATCTAGATCATTTTCATAATCCAATGATTGAGTTATTGATAATGAAGTTAAAACTCGAATCAATTTCCACAAGTGTTCAGTTCAATGAAATTCACAATAACAGTGATAGATGAATTACATCCTCCCGAAATCTATCCACCTAGTTGTCTGAACGGATACCGATTGCAAGTATTTTCTTCTTAGATAACGAACTGTCTTCGGATTTCAACCAGCTTGAGAGGTTCAGATTCGTTTCGGAGTTCTGATAATCATCAGTGTAGGAAAGCCGCCAGACAGCAGTCCGAAAACTGCCATCCAAGCGAAAACCTGGCCAAAGGAAAATCCAAATCGACATTCATCTGCTCAGATTCTGGCTTATCGTAACATGGAAACAGCGTCATCTAGAGCATCGAGAAAGAGAAAACACTTCAAAACTTAAATTCAGCCTATACAAGGAGGTCTCAAAGGAATCTTGACAACCTTCATCCAGGAACTTGTGAGCCCTGTCGTAAGTTCTCTGAGCGAACGCACGATGTTCTTTGAACATTATAGGGATTCCCTTTCGTGCGCTTCAAGCGATAAAAAAAACACGATTTCTGCTAAAAATGTCTGCCGCTGAAATATTCTCAAGTATAACCGATATCCCATAAACAAATTCACGTTCAGAACTTCAGAAGTGCTCTTTGAGAAATTCACACACATAACCTTGTTACGAGAACTTGGGCAAGTATGTGAAGAGCGTCGCGTCAAGTCATATTGATTATTTGATAATCCAATGATTAACTTATTAATGATAGAGTTAGAACTCGAATTCATTTCCACAAGTGTTCCTCCTGAAATCTATGCACCTAGTCTGGACGAATACCGATTGTAAGTATTTTCTTTTCAGATAACTAACCCATCAAACAATTTAGGTCGTTATTACGTCGGCCCAAAATCTGCTTGCCAAAAGTTGCCGACGCGACAAAAGAGCGGCAAACGACGTCGGTCAGACGTCAATAGGTCACTCTGGCCGACTGCCGGACCGATGTCTGTATACCGTCAGACCTAAAATAAAAAAAAGTGACCAGTCGCCTGTAACTCATCTGAGTTTGTTTTGAATTTCTTTAGAAAAATGATGACTCCATTAGGTGGTAGGTTCAGCGAGCAAATATCGATACCTATACGTATAAAACGGAATGTTGACGAACGAAAAATAATATAATAGGTAAATTGACGTTTACTATTCCTCCATCACTGTCGAAAGGATCACTTTATATATAGGTAGCACTAAAAGATAATAAGAATATACCTACCTATTTTATTATAGATAACAGTGTTGAACGTGAGGATACTTTGTTTTTCAACATTCAACAATTAGGAATACTTAATTCACCTACTATTCACGTTAGAAAACTATTATTAATCATAGAGTTTGCAGAAAAAATATTTCATTATTTACAATCGTATCATATATTATGTACTAACTAATTAAGTGTTTCCCAATATATCGTTTTGATTTTTTTTCATCATAATAAAGTATAGATATCTTTCCATCGGAATTAAACAGGAGAGGGCTGATGTATAGGTTATTAGTTATATCATATGATGAAGTCTGGTAGAGCGCGGATGCCTTTATTGGCCCGGTGCCGTCTAGATTATAGTTGAATGATTTCAATATACCATACAAAAGGTCGATGTTTAGACGACGTAGTGAAATGGCATCACTATTTGATACCACGGGCCCATTGCTGGCAGGATTATGGATGAACGATTACAATATATACCATACAATGGGCCGACGTTCGCCCGTTGTTGCTCAGCCGTTGCCAGCACTCTGCCGACTGATGGCCAGAAGGCGGCCATCAGAGATTCGAAAATGTCTTCAGATTGTAACCAGGTCGAAGCACCTTTAGATCTGTTTCGGGTTCCTGACCATCATCAGTGTAAAGTAGCTTCCAGACAGCAGTCCGAAAACTGTCATCTGAGCGAAAACCTGACCCAACAAGCTGCTCAGATTCTGGCTAATGGTTACATGGAGACAGCGTCATCTAGAGCAGAGAAAGAGAAAAAACTTAAATTTGTCTCTCAGTCTCGACTATATTTTGTAGGTGTACCCTCCCTGCCTATACAAGGAGGTATCAAAATAATCTTGACAACCTCCATCCAGGAACTTGTGACGCCTTCCGTAACTTCTTTGAGCGAATGCCGAGAGCACCATTTTTGCTACAAATGTCTTCCGCTGGTATATTCTCAAGCCTAAGCGGTATCCCACAAATAGATTCACATACAATACTTCCAGGAGAGCTCTTTGGGAAATTCAAACACATAACCTTGTTACGAAAACTAAGTCAGCACCGCCGAGTCGTTGCTCATGACCATGCGAGCCGATGGCGGCGGCTGGATCGAGCCCAGCGGCACCGTGAAGACGATCCAGCAGGCTATGGAGGCCAAGAGCAGGAGCCCACCCTTCTGCCATCTGCAAGTATGTAATAAAGTTCACAACAACAATGATAAATGAATTACATCCTCCCGAAATCTAGTCGTCTGAACGAGAACCGATTGCAAGTAGTTTCTTCATAGCAAACGAACTGTCAGGTTTTCTCGTATTGAAATTTAAGGATAAATGAACTCTCAATTTCATCAACTACTTACATGACAACTATTGCTGACCGGCTACTAACAAGAAAATTCTTATTCGGGTTTGGAGGCATTATCGGTTTGGGTTTCAACTGACTGACTGTCGGCGGATTCACGACACACTCACGGCGGGATAACTAACTTCCAATCTACTAATTTTTCTAACTCCCCTCTGCACCGTCAACTTCTCTTCATATAGTTTTACTCAAGGTTCTATTCAAAAACGGGTTCAAAGATCAGAAAACGTACGAGGTTTCCTGAAAAACACCAAGGCTAGTAGGTAAAAACTATTTGTGCAAAATCGATCTGACCCGAAGCGATAAAAACAGTTGAATAGAAGAAAAAGTAGATGAGCGGAGCAACTATTTTGTTTTTTTGTTTTTGTATTCTCTGGTTCCCACGAAAACGGATATCCTGTAATGTTCAGAGAACATCGTGAGAACCAAGGAAAATAAAGTAGGAATTGGTGTTCTTGAATTTCTGGAGGTTATATGCCTCGGGGAACACCTCAATTGGCAATGTGTTCCAGAGCCTTGCTGTTCGTTGGATGAATGAGTCTATGGAAAGAGATGTTCTGCAGGTCTCCAAAGTGACCACGAAGGGGTGCGAAGCCTCAACTCGCCGGGTTAATCTCGCGGGAACTGCCAAGGGAGGAAGAATTGTTGATATTTCAGAAGAGCATCGTCCATGAAAATATCTATAAAATAGAGCCAGATCGCCAACTTTTCTACGGTGTTCCAGAGAAGTGAGTGAATTTGTGAGCGAGGCATCACCCACGACACGAATTGTGATAGAGCTCATGCACTGCTCGAAATATTGTTTTTCTTGGCTTATATATATATGTTTATGTATTTTTCGTCCTGAATATTTGATCATGTTTACTTAACCAATATGCTTTGTCAATAAAATCACCTTTCTTCCGAGAATAAAGCAAATTTTTATTTGATTTGATTTCATAAAATTCCTCACTATTGAAAAGACTTTTCAGAGAGCTTTTCAAGAATACCGCACCCAATATACAGGGTATTCAAAAACTCAGTATCAAGATTCCAGGTGCTCATTTGTCTCTTGTGATTTAAACGCATCTGCGACTGTTATCTAGAAAAAAATAGTTATTTAATCATTATTCAAGGGAAACAAGTAGCAGATTAAAGCTCCAAGTTATGTTATCTTCCGACGCGTAGCGGAGGGAGACGAAAAACCGTGAGCTTGAATCTAATATTTTTCCGTGTATAATACACTATTTAATTCTGTGATTGATTGATTGATTGATTGATTGATTGATTGATTGATTGATTGATTGATTGATTGATTGATTGATTGATTGATTGATTGATTGATTGATTGATTGATTGATTGATTGATTGATTGATTGATTGATTGATTGATTGATTGATTGATTGATTGATTGATTGATTGATTGATTGATTGATTGATTGATTGATTGATTGATTGATTGATTGATTGATTGATTGATTGATTGATTGATTGATTGATTGATTGATTGATTGATTGATTGATTGATTGATTGATTGATTGATTGATTGATTGATTGATTGATTGATTGATTGATTGATTGATTGATTGATTGATTGATTGATTGATTGATTGATTGATTGATTGATTGATTGATTGATTGATTGATTGATTGATTGATTGATTGATTGATTGATTGATTGATTGATTGATTGATTGATTGATTGATTGATTGATTGATTGATTGATTGATTGATTGATTGATTGATTGATTGATTGATTGATTGATTGATTGATTGATTGATTGATTGATTGATTGATTGATTGATTGATTGATTGATTGATTGATTGATTGATTGATTGATTGATTGATTGATTGATTGATTGATTGATTGATTGATTGATTGATTGATTGATTGATTGATTGATTGATTGATTGATTGATTGATTGATTGATTGATTGATTGATTGATTGATTGATTGATTGATTGATTGATTGATTGATTGATTGATTGATTGATTGATTGATTGATTGATTGATTGATTGATTGATTGATTGATTGATTGATTGATTGATTGATTGATTGATTGATTGATTGATTGATTGATTGATTGATTGATTGATTGATTGATTGATTGATTGATTGATTGATTGATTGATTGATTGATTGATTGATTGATTGATTGATTGATTGATTGATTGATTGATTGATTGATTGATTGATTGATTGATTGATTGATTGATTGATTGATTGATTGATTGATTGATTGATTGATTGATTGATTGATTGATTGATTGATTGATTGATTGATTGATTGATTGATTGATTGATTGATTGATTGATTGATTGATTGATTGATTGATTGATTGATTGATTGATTGATTGATTGATTGATTGATTGATTGATTGATTGATTGATTGATTGATTGATTGATTGATTGATTGATTGATTGATTGATTGATTGATTGATTGATTGATTGATTGATTGATTGATTGATTGATTGATTGATTGATTGATTGATTGATTGATTGATTGATTGATTGATTGATTGATTGATTGATTGATTGATTGATTGATTGATTGATTGATTGATTGATTGATTGATTGATTGATTGATTGATTGATTGATTGATTGATTGATTGATTGATTGATTGATTGATTGATTGATTGATTGATTGATTGATTGATTGATTGATTGATTGATTGATTGATTGATTGATTGATTGATTGATTGATTGATTGATTGATTGATTGATTGATTGATTGATTGATTGATTGATTGATTGATTGATTGATTGATTGATTGATTGATTGATTGATTGAATAGATGAACCCACCTGTCAGCCATGGTGCCCCAGAAGGGCGCCGACAGGAATTCGACGAAGGGCCTGCAGCCGATGAGGAAGCCGCCTTGGGCGGCGTTCATGCCCATTTGCTTGAAGTAGACGCCCATCAGCGGGAAGAGCGACCCGAAGGCCGAGTAGAAGAAGAAGTAGAAGCTCTTGACCACGAGCAGCTCCTGGTCCAAGGGACCACCGAAGAAGCGCTCCAGCAGGTCGTGTCTTCCGCGTATCTTGTGCGTGGCTTCTTTGGGTTGCGGGTACCTGCGGAGAGGGAAAGAGTCGAGAATGGTGTGATTGATAATAAAGGGAAGTTTTGTAGCTTGCAGTAGCTGGCATATTTCTAGTCCTCCAGTTTAACAGGGTGTGCCAGAAGTCGGTACCAACTTTTTTATTTCAATTAGGAACCTGAATATTTTTCACAAGGTCCGATTGGCCTTTCAATATTGTCTCATGGTGTCAAAAAATAGTCGTCTCTTCTTCGAGCCTTCGCAAGGTTATGTGATTTTTTTGTGAATTTTTCAAATATATTAGATATCCTTGAAAGCCTTCAGAAGGAACCAATTGGAAGTCATTGTTTGAGTACTTGAAAGAGTCTCGGAAATTTTTTGTAAGCCTTTCAAACTCATCTTTGAGAGTTTTCAAAGTTCTTTGGAATTGGTTGTAACTCATTGTTTGAGTCTTTGAAAGATTCATAGGAATATTTCGTCTTTGAAGCCTGGCAAACACATTCCGAGTCCACTTACATAAACGTATAGCAGGATCAACCTCTCCTTTGGCGTTATCAAAATAAAATCAAACCAATTATTCTTTCAAAATCGGCTTATCTCAAAAACTAGGATAGATAAGTTGAATAAGGTTGCGTGAACAGGCCAACGGAACAATGTGAAGAAAATATAGGTTTCTATTATATAAGAAATAAAAGGAAGTTGGTGCCGAATTTTGGCACACCGTTTATAGCTGTGGGACCAAAAATACCAAAGGTAGATTGAAAATGATCGGTATTACCATCAGCAATACTCTCTAATGGAAAAATCATGTACGTTCCATCGCAGTACCTGCTTCTCAAAAACTCGTACTCTCTCCATATAGTACGTCCCCAAAATGTCCTGCCAAGACGTTTCGTACGTCCTGGGGACGTCCAGATTAGGACCATAGTCGTACTAGGTACGTACTGGGGACGTCCAGATTCCGCATATTTGTACATTCCCAGTACGTAGATTCAGGACAATGAATACCTGAATTAACGTTAATTCGTCCTTTTTCACTCAGATAGTTGAAAAAAAGATCCAGACAGAGTAGAAAAGATCTAATTTTGAATAATAATTTAAAAAAGATGCTTTCCTACCAAGGATCAATCCCAGGACCTTCAGTATACCAGGCAGATGTTCTACCTATTGCTCTACAGAACACTTATTAATATATCAGTATACAACAAGAGATTATGTAAGAATGTCGATTAACCCTTCGAATTGATACTTTCATAGAATTGGATGATCACGGCAGCGAATACCTGCATAAATATTTTGTAATTAGGTACGGCAAGTAAAAAACGAATTGTGAATCTGAAAATCTTCCGAAGTTTTCGACGTTCTATGGGACTAATTGAAACACATTCTTTGAGTCTTTGGAAGTCATGTCGATTGTTTGTGAGTCTTTCAAAGTTATTGAATATCTTTGAAAGCCTTCAGCAGGCTTCGAAGGTCTATGGAACTAGTTGGAATTGTTTCTTCGAGTCTTCCAGAGAGTCATGAGAACTTTTTGTGAGTATTTTGAAGTTATTTCATATCTTTGATAGTCTTTAGAAATTGCGAAAGTCTGTGGAACCAAAAACTCATTCTCCGAGTCTTCGAAAGCCGTCAGACATATTAGCATGTCCTTGAAAATCAGAGAAAACAGGTGAACATATACCATGTCAATTTACATAGATGGGTCAACCTCTCCTTCGAGGTCAATAAAATGGAATCAAAACGATGTCTCAATTTTTCTTCGATTATTTGGAAGTCCTCAGATGTGTTTGTAAGTTTTTGAAATTCCCATAAAAGCTTTCAAGGCAATAAATATCTTCGGAGTATTTTGATAGTGATTGAGATTAATCGAAGCCTTTTCCACGTAATATTAGATGGAATAAAAATTCATGGATGTATTTGATGGCCATTGAATATCCCCGGAAGTCTCAAGTTTTTGAAAGGTCAATGAAACTAACTGGTTGTCATTTTTACGAGTCTCCAAGAGTCATGGAAACTTTTTGTCAGTCTTCGAAAGTCATTGTTTGTCCTAAATAGTCTTCAAAGTATATGGATCTGATTGGAACTCATTCTCCGTGTATTTGAAAGAGCCAAGGAGTCTTTCAAATATATTAGATATCCTCGAAAGCCTCCAGAATTATTCTCAGAAGGTCTATGGAACCAATCGGAAGTAATCGTTTAAGTCCTTGAAAAGGTCACAAAAACATTTTGTAAGTCTTTCAAACTCCTCTTTGAGAGTCTTCAAAGGTCTTTGAAACTGATTGTAACTCATTCTTTCAGTCTTTGCAAGATTCATGGGAATATTTCGTCTTCGAAACCTGGCAAATATACATTCCGTATCGACTCACATACTTATACATATAGAGGGATCAACATCTCCTTTGGTGCCAACAAAATCAAATCAAAGCCAAGTTTGAAACTTTCTCTGATTATGTGGAAGTTCCCAGTCGTGTTTTCAAGTTTTTCGAATTCTCATAAAGGGTTATTAGAAGGCAATAAATATATTCGGAGTATTTTTAGAGTTATTGAAATCAATGGGAGTCTCATTTTCTTGTGAGTCTGGAAGTTTCATTGTACGTTTTCGGATAATTCAAAAACAAAAAGAAATCAATGGAATTCTTTCAAGGAGTTTTCATAGGTCCTGTCTTTGAAAGTCGCTGTAATTCTCCGCAGGCCCTCTAAAGTCACATGGAGTCATTTGATATGGCATCGTAGAGATTATGGGGCTCATCAAAAATCTCTGTGAATATTTAAAAATATTTTTGGACGTGAATTGTGATATGAAGTTTTTGTAATTGTTTCAGAATAAATGATGTATATAAGATATATATTTGAGATTCTTGAGAAGTCTTCGGAGGTCTATGAAAATGATAGGAACTCATTTTCTTCGAGTCTTTTGAAGGTCATGTGAACTTTTTGTAAGTCTTCCAAATATATCGAATATCCTTGAAAACCTAAAGAAGTCTTAGAAGGTATAGAAAACCAATGTGAGCTAACATTATTTATTGTTCACCACATTGAGCCACTGAAACGTGAGGTCAGAGTTGGAGGAACTGTTAAATATACTCCTTCCTTCCGTGTCTTTTGGCCTCTTCCTGAGATATCTTCTTCTCCGTCAATGTAAATTGGTCGTACAGATCCAAATTGAGGTTGAAAAAACGTAAGTCTGCTCAAGTGTTCCCAGAACTTTGGGTTTTCTATTTGTTCAAACACGCCACAGCCTTCAGAGCTATGCGGCAAATAAAATTTAGGAATTTCTGACTGACATTGACCTCACGTTTCAGGATCTCCAACTATGGTGAGACTGAAAATGCTAGCTCCCATTGGAAGTAATTCTTTGAGTCTTCAGAGGTGTTCTGTAACTGCATCTGAGAGTAGAGTGAGAGAGGGAAGAATTTAAATTATGTGACCTCAGAGCAAACAGATAAATAATACACTAACCACCAAAAAAAAATCAGCCACCAAAAATATTGCCCAAATTGTTCACCCAGTAACTTTTTTGAACCTCGTCCGATTTTTGTAAAATTTTGATCAAATCGTAGATTCATGTTCCAGAATGTTAGGCTGAATATTAGCTTCCGTTAAAATCTGATGACTCGAGCATTATACAGGGAAAAACCAAAGTTACTCCTTCACCCATTATCTCTTAACGGTTGTGGCGGCTGAACTAGGTTTCACTATTCTTTAGATTGAAGTGTGATCCCTTCTAAACACAATAGTTTTTGATTCACGTCAATATCTTCTTTTCAAGAGAAGATACGAGTGTTTTAGGAAAATATGGCATTCTTCAATTTTTATCAACAATAATCAGAACCTACCCAAACCCATTCATGATCAATTGAAAGAATCAATATTACCTATGTTTACCTCATTTTCATAGTATTCACAGAAAAAAAACCTTGATTACAAAATACAAATAAAAAGCAGAACTGTAGTCAATAACGAGTATGCCCTCCTCGAGTTTGTACAGCATTCAACCGCCGAGGCATCGATTTGATCGAATTTCTCAGGTGGTCTTGAAGAATTGCCTGAAATTCTCAAAGAGTAGGTATCTGACTAAGCCAAACGAAGGCGGATGAGCCTTTGCAGTTCATTCCTAAAATACTCTATAGGTTCTGAATTATTGTTATTGAGAATAAAAAAACTCCGTATTTTCTTAAAACACTTGTATCTTCTCTTGAGAAGAATATATTGGCTTGAATCTAGAACCATTGTGTTAGGAAGGGACGAAGAAGGATCACAATTCAATTCAAAACATGATGAAGCAGATGGTTGGAAAATGGTTCTGAGTTATTTTTAATAAAAAAATCCTATACTTTCTTGAAAGCACTTATATCTTCTCTTGAAAAAAATATATTGGCGTGAATAGCCATTTTGTTAAGAAGGGATGAAAAGGGATCACAATTCAATTCAAAACATGATGAAGCAGATGGTTGGAAAATGGTCCTAAATTATTGTTAATAAAAAATAAAAAAACATACTTTTTTAAAAAACTTGTATCTTCTTTCAAACAGTGGTTATCGACGTGTATGAAAAACCATTGTGTTGAGAAGAGAACACAATTCAATTCAAAACATAATGAAGCTGAGTTTAAACACTCACCTTTTTCACAGGGCGTTAGGAAGTTAATGGTTAAAGAGTAACTTTTGTGTTTTCCTGTATAAAGGTCGTTATCAGCTATTCTTAGAGAATAATATTCATACTAACATTCCGAAACATAAGTATACGATTTGATCAAAATTTCACCAGAATTGGACAAGAATTAAAAAAGTTACAGAGTGAACAATTTGGCAACATTTTTTGGTGGCAGTTTTTTTTTTGCTAGTGAGTGTAAGAACACTTCTGGGGGGTCTACTACTTAATGCCAATAAAACTTTTGATTTCTTACCGATCTGGATCGAAAGGTTTTCATCTTCTAATATGGGCACGCCTTCTTCTGTTTGAACTATACTAGCTTCGTTCATATTAAGTTTTAATATTCGATTAATTGATCTATGATTTATACAAACTGTGCTG